CTGCTAAATATTGGAGTAAAATTGTGTTTTTTCTCTATTTTGGCATATAACAAGGTTTTTGTAATGTGTATTTCGTAAAGCTGATGTGTGCTATTCCTGCACATAACCCCATATTGTGTTCAGCTACTTCAGCTGAGTATAACGATACCCCCATTGTATGCCTTTGGCACTATTATGTAAAGCTACAATGCCATATAAGAGACCAGGCTATTTCAGTTTCTATAGTTAGAATTTTCTTAGATGGATTTGACGGGCCTATCTCTCATTTTGTGGTAATTTAGCAGTTTGACTTTTCAAATAACCCCACAAACGGCTTCCATTTGATAAAGCAGACCCCAGGGTATCTTATATGGCATATATTGTGCCTTAACATGTCACCACTTTTTTCTCCAATTTATGCCAATGTTTGTGGTGAGGGAAAAAATGGCATTTTTACATACATGTTGCATTTTTGCTGAGTATTTCATACACTTGATATGTGCCACTGTCATAAAATCCCCCAAATTATGCTCAGTTACATCTTCTGAGTAAAACAATATGCCCAATGTATGACCTAGACTCTATTTTGTGAAGTTACAGTGCTGTAAAAGAGACGTGGCAAGTTTAGGTTTTTACGTGTGAATTTTCATGGAGGGTTTTGATGCATCCGTGTCCTACTTTGGAGCACTTTAGCAGGCTACATATTCTAACTACACCATAAAGGCATACCATTTCTTAAAGAAGACATCTCAGGGTATTTCAAAAGGCATATTTTGAACATTAGCATGGGATCATTTTTCCACGAGCAAGTGTAGTGGTAAGCATTTTTGTTTGCCTTTTTGACACACAAAGGGAGTTTGTCGGTATATTTTGCAAACCATATGTGCTATGGCAGTATAACATTTCATAGGTTGCTCAGCTATGCCGTCAGAGTATAGGAATACCCCCGTATGTACCTTTGCCAGGTATATGTGGATGTTGAAGGGGCACATTTGAGATGCAGCCATTCAGTTTTTTTCTAACTTGGAAGTTTTATGCTGTGTCCATGCAGGGTTGGCGTTAGGCCCTTAGGCGCCCTGTGCGAAAAATCTTTGCAGCGCCCCCACCCCCCCCCCCCATCATTATTTTTATAGTGCAGATAGTCAAACACACACACACAGGCAGCCAGCCACACACACACACACATGTACTGACACACACACAGAGTCAGACAGACACACACAGGCAGACAGTCACACACACACACACACACAGGCAGACAGCCACACACACAGGCAGACAGTCATACACACACACAGGCAGACAGCCACACACACACAGGCAGACAGCCACACACAGAGGCAGACAGTCAAACACACATACATACAGGCAGACAGCCACACACACAGGCAGAAAGTCACACACACAGGCAGACATCCATACACACAGGCAGACAGTCACACACACAAACATGCAGGCAGACAGCCACACACACAAACATGCAGGCAGACAGCCACAGACACATACAGACAGAGAGCCACACACACATACAGGCAGACAGCCACACACACACACAGGCAGACAGTTGCACACACAGGTACTCACACACACAGGCAGACAGTTGCGCGCACACACACATACAGGCAGGCAGCCACACACACAGCCAGACAGTTGCACACACAGGTACTCACACAGCCAGACAGTTGCACACACAGGTACTCACACACACACAGCCAGACAGTTGCACACACAGGTACTCACACACACAGGCAGACAGTTGCACATACTCACACACACTCACAAACAGACAGACATACATGGTTACCTCTGTCCTTTATGGTCTGGGGGAGAGGAGTGAAGGCAGTGCAGCACCTGGGGTCTGGTTGTTGGGGAAGCAGGGACTCCTTCCTGCTTCCCATGCAGCCAGCACTTTTAGCTCCGCCCCCGCAGTCATTTTAGCCTCGTCTGCCGTCATTTTAGCCGCGCCCCTGCCGCAAGGTAAGCCCCGCCCCATCACAATGCTGGGAAGTTTTTTTCTAATCCCGAGTGGAGAATAAAGAAATCCTCCCCCAGGGTAGCCGGCCATGTGTGAGCTGTGTCAGGCGCAGGGTGCCCCCTGCTCCACGGCGCCCTGTGTGGCCGCACAGCTCGCACACCCCTAAGACTGGCCCTGTGTCCATGTTCCATTTTGGAGTAGTTTAGCAGTTTTTTTTTTATTCAAACTACCCCAGAAACACAAACCATTTTTTAAAGAATACAAAAGGCATATTTTGAACCTTAGTGTGGGATAATTTATTTGCTAGTTTGCTCCAGGTCTAGTGGTAATGAGCATTTTTTAATGTATTTTTCAACTTTTTAAAACTTGTTTTTAAGCTAACTTTTTTACTTGTTACATTTTTAACTTTTTAAAACTTTTTTACACTTTTAAAATGTTTCTAAACTTTTTTTTTTACCGTTAACCCTTAACTAGCAGTAAGCAGCACTAACAGTAAATTCCCCAATTCCCCATAACTCCCACCCACCCCAGCTAGCAAAATATATCATTTTTAAATCTTTAAATTAATGAAATAAATTGAACCCATGAGGGTTAAAAAATAAAATCAGATCACAGTAAAATGTAGTTCCTGCCAATTGATCACTGTAGTCAGAGATCAATTGGCAGGGAAGGGCTTAATTTTATTAAAGCAGGGGAAAGGTGGGGTGGGATTTAACTTGAATTTTTTTTTTTTTTACACAGGGTTAAGAGGATCATCACTGATCTGTCTCCCTGCACTTCACACTGACCACGGTAGTGCAGGGAGGCGGATCAGGAGTCGCTGCAGCACTTGTGCTCACTCTGACAGCCAGTCAGAGCGATAACAGCTGCAGGGACAGATACCCCGCAATCGTCGCAATCTGGGGTTAAATTTTGTAAATTAAGAAAAGTTTCCGTCATGCGTCATTAATGGTGGGACAAGCATGATGGAACAATTCCATCTAGCATCGCAAAGGGGTTAAAATAAACCAATAACTCCCACGGCTACTCTCCTTTTTTTCAATTGCCTTTCAGTGGACTGGTCTCACCACAGACATGGCTGAGAGAAGCTGAAAAGTTAAACTTTTTTTTTTTCTACATTGAACAACGGTCACTGACGCTAACGACTAGATGTGAGGTAAAGCTTTGTTCTTCTTAGGGTGGAAGGGTGAGTGAGACATCAGTTATTCACTTTTTCCTTACATTTTAAAATATATTTTTTTTTTCAGAAAAAAAAATAGCTAATGCTGCTCCCTCTTTTTTGAAATGCCATCATTGGAGTGGTTTCACTTTGGATGAGTTTTCCTGTGTGACTACATCTGCTATCTTTGCAGATGCAGTTGGCAGAAGCTGATAGGGTACTGTGTTTTGTCCATACTGAAGGACAGTCACTTAAACTTAATACAAGATAGCTAAAGCAAAAAGGTTACAATCAATCATTATAAAACTAAGGCCTTGATTTATTTTTTTGGGGATATGCTTTTAAAATGATTTAATATTTTTGGATTAATTTTCAAAATATATCAATAGATCAAAATATAGCAAAACCTCCAGATATAGGTTCAATCTTTTATTAAACAGGAAAAAAAATGTAAAAAAGTGCAAAGTATGAGAAGCCATACCACTGTTATTGAATGTTTATTATTCTACTAGCACTAGCTGTTGTGGCTGTGCGAATTTTGCCTGTTATCTAATGCACGACCTAAATAAAGAATTTTTTAAAAAAAAGGAGAAACAGATAAAAAAAAAAAAAATATATATATATATATATATATATATATATATATTGCAAATATTAAAATATTTTACATAATATTAAACTATTTTAGAAGTTTATCCAAAAAACATACCCAACAATATTACACCGAGGCCTTAGTTGACTAACTTAGAATTGCCATTGTAAAAATGTCTGATATTGTTTAGCCATCAGGCTAGGCATTTAGGCAATATTTTAGCTGTTTTTGCATTGCAGGATACTCCTAGGCACTTCTTTTCCTGCTTTTTTTGGATTGTCCAAATTTTGTTCCAGTGAATTAAATTCTGACTAGCAGAACCACAGTGTGAACATAACATGAATTTTCCAAAATAAGTGGTTCACAAGAAACACATTTTTCAGCCATCTGAAATTCTCATATAAACCTTATTAAATATAGATATGAGCCAATTATGATGAATACTATCACAGCACATCTATGAAATGTCCACAATTGCCAAGGAACACTGCAGTTACTATAACCATTTCATCTCTTTGAATTTGCTATAGTCTCTGGAGTCCTTTGGCACTGTCCCACCAGTCAGTGTTAACCCATTTTTCAAACAATTTAACACTTAGTAAGAGCCCCTGGCTTCCCATAGCCCTGCTCCCACTTAGGTGTGCATAAGGCAGTGATTACACACTCTCTTGTAGCCACATTGATTCATACATGCCTTAGCACTATGATAGTCATCTGATGCTCTCAGCCAATCACAGCCACCCTTTCTCTATAGTCCAAGCAGCACAGGTGAGATGGGCTGGTATTATAATGTTGAATTGATGGACAGCCACAGAGGACTCCAGACACTATAAGCAATTCAAAGCAGTTATGATGATCACAGTGTCCCTTTAATTAAGTTCTATCAGTGTATTATATTTATACCTAAATTATGATTTTCTACTAATTCCACTCTGTTTAAAATATAGTCATTAATGTAAAGACATTCATTAGTTAATGTGATCGTAGTGTCTATAGCAATTATAGTGTATATTTTTCTATAAGAAAAGGTAGCTATTATGTTATTTTGAAGTAGGAAGTATCCCAGTGAATCCTATATTGCCCCGAAAACTAACTCCTTTGATTATTTTCCAGCTCTTGATCTGCACATGCCTGTGTAGAATTGTTGTATATAGACGTTTATGTGTTCAAATTGCGTAGAGATTTTAAAATAAGTTTACAAGGATGGGACTGATTGTGTGTTTTGAGGGGGCTGGGCTACTTGTGTGTGACCTTTGGGACAATGACTCTTTGCCAGCAAGCAATCAGTGTTCCGAGGAGCAAAGTCTGTATGCATGCTTCAGCTATCGAGGAAGTGCACTCCATTGAAAAGCAATGGACACGGCAGCTCTGAATGTTCTCTACCTGCTTGAGTAAGTAAACAAGATGCTCACTTAAACTGCTATTGCTGCTGTTTTCTCCCTGGTTGTTTTCTGAAATTCTGGCATGGGGAAGCGACTCATCGTAGCGTATGGTCTATGGGCACTAGGTGGTCCGCTCGGCCTTCATCATATCTACTTAGGCCGGGATAGTCATGCCTTGGTTTGGATGCTTACTTTCGGAGGTTTTGGGATGGGATGGGCATGGGATTTTTGGAAGATCCCTGGACTTGTATTTCAGTGCAATCATCAGAAGACATTGTCAAATGAAGTGAAGGAAGAAGTACCACCTGCTAGTGTTATCCGCTTTGTAGGACAGGTTGCGATGGGCATTTATTTTGGCCTAGTGGCTGCCATTGGACTTTCTTCCCTGATTAGTTACTATGTAGTAGCTTTGCCACTTGCTGTTGGACTGGGGGTTCACCTTGTGGCTTGTGTGGGTGAACAGACTTCCAACCTGAAAAACACCCTAATAGCTGCTTTCGTGACTTCTCCAATATTTTATGGTCGTACCATTTCTATGATTCCAATCAGCCTGACTGCAAGCATCACTGCACAGCAACACAGGCGCTACAGGACAGGACAAAAGAAACATGAAAACCTCAGTCTCCGTCTTTATCGTATTGGTTTAGCCTACCTAGCATTTACTGGACCATTAGCCTACAGTGCTTTGATCAATACTAGTCGCACAGTGAGCTATATAGCTGGAAGTATTGGGGCCATGTTGGACTGGCTGAGTGTATTCCCTAGTCTAAGTGCATTGATGGAAAGAATCCTGCTTCTGCCATATCGTGTTTGGAGCCTGTTCACAGGTGGAGGAGGTTTTCAAAATCAATACTTTAAGGAGTGGGAGAAGATTTATGAATTTGTTGCCACTTTCCAAAATGAGAAGGAACATCTGGCTTGCAAGGTATGCAGCAAATTGATTTGTCTAAAAAAAAAAAAAATGTTTTCTATATTTTCTATTATTTAAATAACATGGTAACAATCCAAAAAGAATAACGTTTTTTAAAACTTGCTATTTAATGTAAGTTTTAAAATGTATTTATATGTTTAGTTAACAGTTTATGCTTTCTCCATTGTCATAGAGGATAAAACTAAAAATATGGATTCTACAGCTGACGCCTAAGACTCTGCTTCTTCCTCTAATATTAAGTATAGCATCTGAGAATAGCATGAGGCTACTTTCTAAGCTTTCTGAGACACCACATCAAACAATTGAAATAGTACTGTTGTGTATCAATCCAGAATAATGGGGATTACATTATATAACTACCTGAAGCAGGCCCTTTCACAAACACATTCTTAGATAACACTTTAAATGGAACAGGTTACAAAATGCATTTTTTTGTAATTTTAAAAATGCAGTTAAAGAAGCACTGTTATCTTCTGGGAGATTTAGCAAAGACTCCTGACGGTGACATCATCCCTGGGGGTCCAGTATCTGGGGGTCAGGTAAAGGTAAGTCCTACTTACCTAAACCAGTTCCTTGCCAGCGCAGCCATCTTTTTCCCACGGATCCTGTTCAGCTTCTGGCTCTGATCCAACATCCCTGCTGTACTCTCGTGCAAATGTGAGAGTACAGCATTCAGTTATATGGAGGATCCCGCAAAACAGTAGAAAGTGTGCAAACGTGCTTCCATTTTATACTACAGCAGTATCATGGTTTACAAGGGCCTGATAATTAGGGATATGTATTGAAAACAGATAAAGCTCCTGTTACAATTTTTGCAAATTAACCCAAACGAAGCTCAGAAATATGTGTAGCTGCTGTCCTGACAACTTCTAAATCTGATTGGTGCAGTCAGTTTGAAATCATCCATTGTGCATACAAGGATAGATTCTATTACATGAGATAAGATGATTCAATAGCAGTTTTTCCTATAGAAGGCAATAAAAAAAAACTGCTACAAGAGATTTGCTTATCCTGTCTAAAAGAATCTATCTAAAGGCACAGCCAGGGCCGGTGCTTGGATTTTTAGGTACATAGGCGAAGATGCATTTTTCCGCCCCCCCCCCCAAAAATCTTCACCTATGTGCCTCTTAACCAGCCCCTCTCCCCTCCCCGACCATTAGTGGTCCCTTCCGTTCCCTGTCCCTTAGTGTTCTTCTCCCCTTTCCCCCTCCCCCCTTTTTTCCCTGTCTCTTGGTGTTTCTCTCCCATTCCCTCCCTGTCCCTTGGTGCACTCCCCACCCCTTTAGTGGTCACACTTCCTGGTGTGTGCCTCCTACCACTTCCTGGTGTGTGCCTCCTCATGCTGTCACTCACAGACACACGCTCAGTCACTTAGACACACACACTCACACAATCACTCACACACACTGTCACTCACAGACACACGCTCAGTCACTCAGACACACACATGCACACACACTCATACACTGTCACTCACAGACACACGCTCAGTCACTCAGACACACACATGCACACACACTCATACAATCACACACACACACTGTCACTCACAGACACACACGCTGTCACTCACAGACACACACAGAGACGCACACAGTCATTCATGGACACACACGCTGTCACTCACAGACACACACAGAGACGCACACAGTCATTCATGGACACACACAGACACACGCTCAGTCACTCACAGACACACACACTGTCACTCACAGACACACGCTCAGTCACTCACAGACACACACACACTGTCACTCACAGACACACACACAGACAAACACACTGTCACTCACAGACACACACACACAGACACACACACTGTCACTCACAGACACACACACTGTCACTCACAGACACACACACACAGACACACACACTGTCACTCACAGACACACACACACTCACTCACAGACACACACACAAACACACTGTCACTCACAGACACACACACACAGGCACACACACTGTCACTCACAGACACACACACTGTCACTCACAGACACACACACACACACAGACACACACACACATCACATACATTCACTAATAATTTTATAAATAAACATTTTCCACCCAGCCTCCCTACCTGGAGAGCTGGTGTGGATGCTGGATCGGTCCCTGAGGGCTGGGGCTGCTGAGAGGCGCACGGCAGTGCTGTGATCAGGCGCGCGAGGGAGCTCTAATCTCCATCCTCTGCTCCCTCGCGGGCTGCCTACTGATGACGTCATATTCCGGCTCCCGCGGCATCAGTAGGCAGCGCGCGAGGGAGCAGAGGGTGGAGATTAGAGCTCCCTCGCGCGCCTGATCACAGCACTGCCGCGCGCTGCGCCGGGGGTCGAGATCGTGGCCTGGCAGGAGGGAGAGCTTCCCTCCTGCCGGTCACTGAAATATTGCGCCCCCAGAGCCCGTGCGCCCTAAGGCGGCCGCCTGTGCCGCCTTATGGACGCGCCGGCCCTGGGCACAGCTTGTGGTAGAATGAAAATAAAACTCTTCCTTTCTATATCATAGCAGAGGTTGGGAGAGAATCCAATGTTTTCCACTTTTTGGGGGGTTGAATTTCCAACTTGTCATGTGCAACTAAACAGTAGGGGCATATAAACATACAGTATAGGGCAGTGATGGCGAACCTTTTTGAGCCCGAGTGCCCAAACTGCAATATATGCCAACTTTTTTTCCTCAAAGTGCCAACACGACAATTAAACCTGAATACTGAGGTTTAAGCTTAGAAAAAACAACTCCTACAGTGGTCCGAACTAATTCTCGCTTCTCTCCCCCCAGCATCTTCCCTTCTCTACCCCCAGTATATCCCTCTCTCCCCCAGCATCCCCTCCTCCCCCAGTATATCCCCCTCTCCCCCCAGCATCTCCTCCTTCCCCAGTATATCCCCCTCTCCCTCCCAGCACATAAATAATGTTTATTTATTTTTTTGGTGCAGGTGGGGGTTTGAAGTCCACCCAGGCTCCCTACCTGGTGGATCTGATTCCTTCCCACTGCTATGAGGAGGTGTGGCCACGAGGGAGCACTGACTTACCTGCTGTTCCAGCACTACTCCCTCTGGGAAACAGGAAATTTCCTGTCTCCCAGCGGCATCAGCAGAGGGAACAGTGCTGGAATAACACGTAAGTCGTGCTCCCTCGAAGCCCTCCATCCCATCCACCCACCAGTACCATCTTAACAACATTATGGGCCCCCGGGCAAAGCAGTGCGGTGTGTGTGTGTGTGGAGTGCTGTGTGTCTCTGAGGGGTGCTGTGTGAGGGGTGCTGTGTGTGTGTGTGTGTGTGTGTGTGGGGTGCTGTGTGTGTGTGTGTGAGAGAGGTGCTGTGTGGGGGTGGGTGCTGTATGTGGGTGGGAGGGAGGTGCTGTATGTGTGTGAGAGGAGTGCTGTGTGTGGGTGGGGGGAGGTGCTGTATGTGTGTGGGGGGAGGTGCTGTATGTGTGTGGGGGAGGGGTGCTGTGTGTGTGTGAGAGGGGTACTTTGTGTGGGGGTGCTGCAGGTAGAAAATGTATTATTAAAATCTTTATTCCCCCCCCCCCCTTCTTCTTACCTTTGGTGAAGGAGGGGGGGACACAGCCAGCCCTGGTGGTCCGATGGGGGTAAGTATGTAGGATAGGTTCTGTCTGCAGCTCTCCTGTCCTCCCGCGCGCAGAATGCTCTGTTGAGCGTTGCCATGGTAACGCACGGCAGAGCGCCACACAGATTGCTCGCAGGAGGACAGTAGAGCTGCTTCCCAGATTCCTCCCACTGCTTCCGGGTCCTCCCGATACGAAAGCAGAGTAGGCGCCTGCCGTTTTGGCGACCTATGGCAGCGTCCCCACAGAGCACGCATGCCATAGGTCCACCACAGAGCATGCATGCCATAGGTCCACCATCACTGGTATAGGTATTAACTGAACCTAGATGTCAAAGGGAGAAGTGATATTCAGATATCACAGTTAGCGGAACACACTATGCACCACAACAACTACATTGCAGTTGTGGTTATGGTATTTGTAATGTCCTGGTGCTTTCTCACTGTAAGTAGTCAAACAGTTTGCAATCCTGGGGTATGCAGGACTCCAGGACAGCCAGACAGTCCTGCATAAAGCTTCGATTAACTACCCTGAGCTAAGCCCTTTAACGATAAACTGTCTCAAAGTAAGGAGCTTCCAGTTTTTGATTAAGCCATGGATGGTTGCAAAATAGTGATTATTGGGTCAGATAACCAACAGTCTGACTGGGGGCGGGGCTTAGTAGCGATCCAGCACAGACGCCATTCTAATCTAACAGTGAAATCCAACATTAATCTCCATTTCTGTTGAGCATCGTCCCACCTGGGGACTAGAAACAGTTGCAGAGGAAGGAGAGGCACACACCGATGCCGTTCTTTTAGCCGCCATGCGCGAAACAAACGCCGGCCTCACAAGGCCTCCCACGCGGCATGCTATAAAAACACGACGAATGCCTTTGTGGGCTGGTGGGACTCGGACTGGCTCACACCCGAATCCCAGCAGACACAGCCCCAAGAGCCGGATGAGATGGGAAAGAAGACCCAAAAATCCCAGGTACAAACACCCAGGGAAGCTCAAGACATCGGCACACTGCTTCAACACACAGCCAAGCATAGGGGGCTGGAACAGGCTGAGGCCTCTAGTCCTCAGGAGGAAGAAGGGGGGAATGTGTATACCCTGGGGCCTCCCACAACTGGACACCCAGCCACATCTACCCCAGCAAATATGGTCCCAGCAACAAAACAGGACATAGACAATCTCTTTGTCAAAATCCAACAGCTGTTCGCAACCAACATAGCCACGTTGTGGTCTGAAGTACAGGAGGTCACAACCAGCGTCCAGGCCTCAGAAACCGATATAATCAACCTACAATGCAACCTTGCAGCAATGGGAGACTTGGTCAGGCAGCTGCAAGCACACCAACCCATTCTGATGCTGAGAGTGGATGCCCTGGACGAGAGAACCCACCAGAAAAACCTGTAGATAAGGGGGGTCTCAGACACAGTGGCGATAGAAGAGCTACCTCACTTCATTAGAAGACTAGTGAATACACTACTCCCAGCAAAGCAAGCCAAGCAATTCACAAACAATGGAGCCTACTGCACCGCCAAATCTCCTAAGGAACCGCCTTCGGCCCCAAGGGACGTAATCTTACATTGCTAGACAAGACAGACAAGCTTTGATGAGGACTATTCACAATAAGTCACCACTAAACTTTGAGTCTCATAAGATATCGATCTTTCAAGATCTACACCGCTCCACCTTGTTATGGAGGAAAACGATGAAACCCATCACACAACGGCTTCAAGAGGCAGGAATACCGCATAAACGTGCAAAGAAAATTATCAGTGTGGATCGACCAAAAGTCGGTTATGTTACAGTGGTCCAGACTGACAAAGCATTGATGAGAGATTCCAGGGATCTCTCTCAGGGCTTAACCCTCGTAGTGCAAAAATTAAAAAAATAAAGAAGGTATGCAGGTACACCAAAGGTGGCCAAAAGTGAAATTAAATAGTTAGAACAACATGTTAAGTCAAAAGTGAGTCAAATAATATGGTGCCTAGTGAAAAAGTGAACACCCAGAGCTTCAAACGCCGATGCGTGTTTCGGTCCAATGCTACATGCATCATCGTCAGTGGTAAATGTATAATGGTAAGGATCTCTTTTTTTCTATCCAGCTATTAGTGTGGGGGAGTATCTAGAGCAACCAATGGAATATCTCTGACTTAATTGGTGGGTGTGTCTGTAAGGAAACACCCTTTTTTCTATCTGTCCAATCCCAATGAAATCATCTGTTTAGAAGGATCAGCTTAGTGTGAACTAGGGGCGTGTCTATTAGAGGGGATGTCTACCAAAGATATTTATAAGATCCATGGTTATAATATGTCTATGTTCATCCACTAAATGCTGGACATATGAAGATACAGATTACTAAAAAGATTGAGACCGCTATCTGAGTCTCTTTATATGGACATAGGAATTAACCTTATAAGGTTATGATTACACAGACGGGTGTTTTTTATGGCTTGCAATTCTCTAGATACATATTTCTATTCTTTGGTTATATTCCTATTAGAAGATCCTCAACTTACTACTATTATCTCCAGGCAGGGGATGCATGGCCACCTTTGGTGTACCTGCATACCTTCTTTATTTTTGTAATTTTTATACCGTATAAATGGACTACTCCTAGAGCCCTTATGGTCACCATAAGCAAGCAACTCAAGGTCACCGACGTGACAGAGGCCCTCACTTTCTTGGCAGCGATTGGATTGGGAAATGGTCCACGAGAGTGGGCACAGGCCACCACCAGCACCTGGGACGTGGAAAATATAACCCCCTTCACCCCAAGAAGCGGACAAGATACCATGACATAGGGGAACAAGCCATCACTGTTTCTGTCTCTTACTCCCACACTATGCTAACTGTATTTCTAATCTGTTAGTCGCAAAGGACGTCTGTGCTAAAATATGACATACACCAATGAAGGCTCCTTCAGAGCCAACTGACAACTATTAATTTATCTCCCCCCCACCACCGTTGCCCCATAGGTTAGGGGCCCCGCTCTACCTCCACAATCCAGGGTAGACTCAAGTGCCTTGACATAGCACATAGCAAACGGTAGTTAAAACCAATCTGTTAAAATGCAATGTACTAGATCTCACTTTACAGTTGCTTTTTGGTTCTTCTTTTCTCTATTCTCACTGGGTTTACGTCAAGTTTTAGCGACTGAATATGCATAACACACCCGATGATAACCAGACGGGCCACTTACACTTGTCCACGCGTCACTCTAACAAATCCGGTTTCCCCTGACGACAAGTTAATATAATATGTCTGTTGTGAGAGGCGTTGTCACCAAAGTATATGACCAAGTCTAATATAACAAAAACATAGGTGAACATACAACGTCTACAATGTTATGTGAACGTGGTCACTGCAATCTAATTTTGTATGCATGTATTAATTTACTATGTCGTAATGCTTCACCTGCAAAAATAAAGATATATTTTTTTTTTTTTTAAACAGCCTGACTGACTGTGCATAAAGTGTCAAAAAGGAGGAGTGGGAAAGATTGGCAAATTAATTATTTAAAAAGAATCCCTATACATAAATTTAAAAAATAATAATGATGGTATATTATAACAAAGATTATATTAAGATATTCTAAAAAATGATGACAGTAATTCTTTAATAGAATCATTGCACAATGCTAATCATTTTCTCTTCAGATTTTAGGAGTTGATTCTCAAGCTACCCTGGAAGAGATTAATCACCATTATAGGGATTTGGTGAAAATCTGGCATCCAGACCACAACCGCCACCGCATTCAAGAAGCTGAGCAGAATTTCCTTGAGATCCAGGCTGCTTATGAAACTCTCACACACCTCCGGAAATTTAAAAAACACTGAGTGTTTCGAGATGGTGAGACTCCACCCTTGGAATTTAACTTCTCTCTCTCTGGAAAATCACATCTACTGATTTATTGAACTCATGTGCAATATTAAAATGGAATTCAATTTAAAAAAAAAAACAAGAAAAACAAAAACCTTTACGTAACCAGTGTATTGCAAAGCTAAGAGAGTGGCACATCTATGGTACTGAATAGAATTATGTTTCACTAGGTAAACAGGAAACTGCTCTGATACAATATATCATGCTAAAATATGAAATTATTACAATTGAAACACAGCACAGAAATATCAAACTTAAAAAGGAACACTTTTCAGGATACGTGACAAGACAAGAATTGAGCTGTACATGGGAACATAACTTAGTTTGCCTCCACAGACACACAATTATTGTATGAGCCCAGAAATCAGAGGTGCCCGGATGTAGATCCCTAGATGTTTTAAAACTGCAGCTTCCATGATATTTTGTCATAAAGGCATGCAAAGCATAATGGGAGTTGTAGTTCTACAACATCTGGGGATCTACCTTTTGTGCACCCCTGGGATATACCCCAAGATAGAACATGAATGTATTTTATTTTGTATATTTTCAATGGGAGGTATATGAACATTTCTTCCAATAGCTGAAAACCTAGTATCTGCAGCTAATGTAAGCCCTAACTTCTTTCCCTGGCATAGATTTTCAGTCTGTGAACGTGAAGTGACCAATCAGAAAGTTTCTCATTAAGAAGCCTCTGTGGTCTAGTCATGGCTTTTCATTCACACTGTAGCACAACTCATTGAGATGTGTTAGCATGGCAAATGTATGTACGCTCTAGCCAAGCGCTCCGATCAACAAGAACAAAACACTGTTTGAGATGTTCCATGCAGTGACGATATTAGTTCAAATGGAACACATAAGTAAACGTTTGCAAGTTCACCAAAACTCAAAAATCTAAATGAATGCAGTTTGACCAAGTTTCAATAACGAAAAACTGTCAGTATAAATAAGTTTAAACAACTTATTATATTAAGATACTGTACATATATGGTACTTGAATAGAAACTGTATAACTACATTACACTTGTGGAAAACCAAAATGAGCAGGAAAAAAAACATCACAATGCAATGACTGAAATGAAACTTTCCAAGCAGTTATGTTAAACAACATTGTAAGATTTGTGAACTATCATATGCAGGGCATCCAGTTGAAAATAAATGGGTCATTTCAGAAATCACCTCTAGGGGCACACTGAGCACGTCTGAGGTGCTCTCAGACTAAACTGGTCTATACATGACAAGCTGTTCTCAACAGCTTATTCAGCCAGGATAGGTGAAATTAAAGAACTGCTGTATTGTATGGTGAATGCCAAATATGGTTATAAAAATGTGCAAGTTAATCATCTCCCAAAGGGAAACAATGTTAGTAGCTCACTTTTTAACATTAGCAAAAAATTTTTTTTCAATTATGACAATTATCTGGTGGAGCACCTTAAAGGGATACTATAGTGCTTATAATACAAATCTGCATCTGTTACTATATAGGTTTAGGGATACTTAGAGTTAGAGTTTGGGGCTAAGCATTTGGGAGCCTTGCAAGGCTGAGAATCATAGAGTTTAACCTAAGCCCTCATTCTACATTTTCACCTAATATTAAACACACTCTAACCCTATGCACACAAAAAGCTAAAGACCCTCTGACCTAAGGCTTACCACAACATTCCCTAATTATAACGTTAGCCACTCTGGCTACATAATGTTTTGTATGGCATAGGAAGTAGGAAAAATGTAAATGAGACCATTCTGGTCCAGGCACTCATACATTCTACAGGATTGATACAACATACATGGCATCCTCGTAACCAACTCAGGTTGGAAGATTAGGCACAATGAACACTGTAAGGTTAGTGCCAAATAATTTGTAAATGGTATGAATACCAGTAGATGTCTGTGCACTGTAGTAAATATAATGCCTAGTGTCACTTTAGGAACAATTGTCACTTCTGTCACTTACCTGGGTCTAGCGCCGATGTCCCTCAGCGCTGACTTGGGACTTGGGTCTGCCTTCACTCCATTCCCAACTAACGTCAGCTGGTGGGGGAGACCTAATGCGCATATGCTGCAATGGCCGCACTAGCTTTAGGATTTCCCCATAGGAAAGCATTATTCAATGCTTTCTCATTGGGAATCCGGTGACGCTAGAAGTCCTTATATATAGTGTGAGGACGTCCAACGTTATTAAGGCGACCAAAAGTCCCGGAAGTCCCTCTAGTGGCTGTCTGGTAGACAACCACTAGAGGTGGAGTTATCCCTAGCAGGTAATTATTGCAGTTTATTAAAAACTGCAATAATTACATGCTTAGGGTTAAGGATGATGGGACACTGCACCCAGACCATTTAAAAGAATAATACATTAATGCTTGAAATTAGCTCTGTAACCCACCTTGCAATGAAAGGACTAAGGTGAAGGGCTAATTATACTCTCAATCTGTCCATAAAAACACACCGAGTTGGGGGCGGGGGCGGGGGCTGGACTCCATGCCGGATGGTCGCTGAATGCTTGAGCTCCTGCTCGACCTGTTCTAAAACCTAAGTAGAGGGTGAAAATCCCTTCTTATCGGACTCACCTACACTGGTACCCTTGTCTAATCCTCCTAGGGCAATCTTGGAATGGTTTTGGGGGCTGTCCGATGGCTGTGGTCTCCAGCAAATCGTGGCCTGGTGCTGTCTCAACGAGAGAAACGGCCTATCTCTCTGCCTGGGGCGGCCCGAGCTTTCTTCTTTGTGGATCCTCAAAGCCCCGAACTCCCCCGTCCCTCCCCCCCAGACAGGCGAGGGTTATCCCGGTCCCCACCAGAAGCTAACTACTCATTTCTCTGTAGCTCCTGAGTCAAGCCTGCAGATCATGCACCTTTGTGACCCATCTAAGATGGTGGCGCTGCCTCGAAGTGTGCTACACAGGCGGAGACAGAGAATTGGGAGTAAGACTTCTCCAAAAAATTAAATGCAATATGCCTGCAGTTCTGGCGATGCTTGACGAGAAGGAGTCTGCACCCAGCACTGCCGATCCCAGTGGCTCAGCCTGCACGCAAAGCTCCTGCTAGGAAACAGGTCCCAGGAAGGAGTCCTGGGAGAGTCCAGCGGGCGTCATGGGTGATGCATACCCGCAAATATTACAGTCCCCTGCAATCTCAAGGACTTTGCCGCATTGTAAAGGGAGAGGTTTGGAGTCATGGGAGTTGTAGTGCTGTGGCAATCTGCAGAACCCAGAGAGGTTTTGATCACCTCCTATACCTGCTTGGACTTTGTGTATGTGCCATGTGTATCGGTAGAATAAGCTATTATCTAGCAGCCCCTGTCCGATCTGGCATTCTAGCTCGGCATGCATGCTGTATTGCCTTCACACTCAATGAGCAAAGTTAAAGAGCAAATGGTGATTTCTTTTATGTTTTATGTTGTTGTTCTCTATCAGTTTCGACCTTCTTCATACTCATACGCAACAGCATAAGTCTGTCCCTGAAGTTGTAACCTAATCCTGCACCAGACCAATAGTATAATCGTCTGACCAGCTTTAATGTGCGTATTACTGTAAGGGATAGCCCCAAACTAAACCTCAGGTATCCATGCATGCGTACTCACTATGTTTTTGCCTTTAGCACAAAACTGATCTTTACCACGTATGATGCCATGCCTGTGTTCTCATATATAGTGCATATGATCATCCTATGTTTTTATCTGTTCGTGTATCACACATGTATCGTTATTCTGTACTTGACACCAAAAAACAAAGAGGCTACTCATTTCTGGAGCTTATTTTCCTTGATTGCATTCATGGTCCATGTGAGCATCTACTGCTATTTTCTCAAATGTTTTACTCAAATGCCCCAATAAAATAAACAATTTAAAAAGAAAAACAAACAAAAAAAAAACACTGGGTTAATCATTCTAAGGCAGTAAATCCTATCTTTTCAGATTACACAGATCTAACACAGGTAATAAGTGATTTATTAGCAATATTAACCCCTTAAGGCCCAAACTTCTGGAATTAAAGGGAATCATGACATGTCACACATGTCATGTGTCCTTAAGGGGTTAACCCCATAAGGACTGAGGCAATTGTACACGTTCTGATCAAAACAAAGTCAAAACAAAACAAAGTCAAAACAATATACCTTGCCCAATGCACTTTAACCCCTTAAGGACGTAGCCAAATGTACACGTTGTGAACGAAACAAAATGTAAACAAAACCTGGCATTTGCTCTACATGTCTGTCCAACTATAATTCACATCTTTCATATTAAATACACCCACCCTTATTATATATCATTTTATTCAGGGGAAACAGGGCTTTCATTTAATATCAGAAATTTAGCTATGAAACATAATTTAATATGAAAAAAATGGGAGAAAATAAGATTTTAAAAAAAAAATTTAGTTCTACATGACATTTTAACGGTCAATGTCATAAAACTGTTTGCTTTTACTGCAATAAAATACACATATTTGTATTCAGCAAAGTCTCACGTGTAAAACAGTACCCCCTATGTACAGGTTTTATGGCGTTTTGGGAAGTTACAGGGTCAAATATAGCACGCTACATTTGAAATTGAAATTCGCCAGATTGGTTACGTTGCCTTTGAGACTGTATAGTAGCCCGGGAATGAAATTTACACCCATAATGGCATATCATTTGCAATAGTAGACAACCCAAGGTATTGCAAATGGGGTATGTCCAGTCTTTTTTAGTAGCCATTTGGTCACAAACACTGGCCAAAGTTAGCGTTAGTATTTGTTTGTGTGTGAAAAATGCAAAAAACACCAATTTTGGCCAGTATTTGTGACTAAGTGGCTACTAAAAAAGACTGGACATACCCCGTTTGCAATACCTTGGGTTGTCTACTATTGCAAATGGTATGCCATGATAGGGGCAATTTTCATTCTTGGGCTACCATAGGGTCTCAAAGGCAACGTAACAAATCTGGCAAATTTTAATGTGAAAAAAATGAAACACAAGCCTTATATTTGACGCTGTAACTTTTGAAAACACCATAAAACCTGTACATGAGGGGTACTGTTGTACTCGGGAGACTACGCTGAACACAAATATTTGTGTTTCAAAACAGTAAAAAGTATGGCAGCAATAATATCGTCCGTGTAAGTGCTGTTTGTGCGTGAAAAATGCAAAAAACGTCACTTTGTGTTCAGCGAAGTCTCCCGAGTAGAACAGTACCACCCATGTACAGGTTTTATGGTGTCTTGAAAAGTTATAGGGTTAAATATAGTGCTAGCAAATTAAATTCCCTTTACTTTCGGCATGGGTTGTCAGGCAGGTCCCGCTAATTGTAATTAATTAAGATACCTAATTATGTAAAAATATTACATAAATATATATGTAGAATTAATATATGTGTGTGTGTGTGTGTATATATATATATATATATATATATATATATATATACGTATGTGAATATATATGCATATATATTATTTAAAAAATATATATTTTTATATATATAGTGATATATACGTATATATTTATGTATATAGATATATATATTTTGTTCTACGTGTATTTTGATATAAATATATATATATTAATATCACAATACAGTTAGAACGAAATAACACACATCTATATATTTTTTTATTATTTTTTTTAATTTTATTTTTTTACGTATTTACATATTTAATTTTTTTATATTATATATAAATATATATATAAAAATAATTATGTATATATTTAATCAATATCAGTCTACGTGTAATTTGATATTAATATATATATATATATATATATATATATATATATATATATATTAATAGTAAAATAAACCTAGACAGTGTATGTGTTTGTATGTGTATCGTCGGTTTCGGCACACCACAACCGACTTGCTCCTTTTATCATCCTACGCTTATTCATGGTATTTCACACTGTACTATCTTAAGCACCTAACACAAGTATTAAGGCAATTTGCTTGGATTTGTGGGAGGTGCTGGTTTGCTACCCCTAGCCTACTTAAGGCACTCCCCTTACCTTGCTCCTTACCGTTCGAGGTCAGCGTTGAATGACCCTCCCACCACACCACTTTTAACATTTATTTCCTTTCTATTTCTTTTCCTTGGTGGGCCCTCTTCTTTCTCAGGCCTACCTCATTGTCGGTTTCGGTACACCACAACCGACTTGCTCCTTTTATCATCCTACGCTTATTCATGGTATTTCACACTGTACTATCTTAAGCACCTAACACAAATAAATATATATATATATATATATATATATATATATATGTGTATGTATATATATATGATCTAAGTATATATATATATTTTTTTTACACTTTTTAACTTTTATTTATTTTATTTCCAGCCAGCAGGGGGACCACCTGTCATTACAGGCAGCCCCCCTGCTGGCAATGCAGGAGGCAGCTAACCCTGCCATGTGATTGTGAGGTCCTCGCAAGGACCTCACTCTCACATGGCCGGGGGGGCTGCCAGGAAGAGGATCTGCCGCGGGGGGGCTCCCTGGGAGTACCCCCAACTGCGATCGCCGGCGACTGGGTAAGTAAAGAAAGACCGGAGGGCGTACTATTACGCCCGGCGGCGTTTAGAGCCGCCTAAAATAGGGCGTAATAGTACGCCCTCCGGTCTTAAGGGGTTAAAAGGCTCCTTTCATATGATTTATGTACTTTTGTACTCCAGAAAGAGAGACCAACCGTTAGCCCTGATTTCTTGGAACTGTTTTGGGTATAAGACCATGTGCACGGTCAGTCAAAATTATGACTTCCATGGAAATCCTGAACCCCTGAACCGATCTATGAGATTTTTGTTCATGTTGTTCACCCACTGGAAACTGGATCTTGGTCTTGGGTCCACGGTGGGTGGAGGGCAGTGAGACCTGGCTGTGGGGTTTATGGTGGTTATAGTCTCTGGTGGAGTGCTTAGGAGTACTCTGAAGTAGTAGGAAGCAGCGATTGGCGGAGGCACCCAGTCAGGGTGCCAGGCAGTCCGTCACATACCTCTTTCATATTAAGTGCACCCACACTTATTATATATCATTTTGTTCAGGAGAAACATGGCTTTCATTTCACATCAAATATTTATATATAGAACATAATTTAATATGAATGAAATCTAAAACAGTTTGGGAAGTTAAGAAATATAGTTATTTTTAAAATTCTGCATGACATTTTAACTGTGAAAGTCCGTGGGAATTAGGGAGTTATCTACCAAGCGGCTGCAAGAGAAGTTCCGAAATTCCAAAGTTCCGAAGTGTCGACGTGCCGAAGTTGTTGAAGTTCCGAAGTGTCGAAGTGCCGAAGTTACCGAAATTCTGAAGTGCCGAAGATCCGAAGTGTCGAATTGCCGAAGTGCCGAATTGCCGAAGTCCCGAATTTCAGAATGCCGAACTGAACCAACATTTTTTCCCATGCACATGCATAACACACACGTCAACCCCAAACACCGTACAGCAACCCTCTCACACACACTGCACCACAACCACACAGCACCCCTCACACACACATACTGCACCCCAAAAACACAGTGCACCCCAAACACACGTCAACCCTCAAACACACAGTGCACCCCAAACACCACACAGCACCCCAAACACACAGTGCACCTTTCACACACACAGTGCACCCTTCAAACACACACTGCATGCCTCACACACCCTGCACCCCACACACAGTGCAACCGTCACACACGCACAGTGTACCCCTTACACACATAACATTCTAGACACATACACACTACATCCCTTATACACACACACTAGATCTCAAACATAACTATGGATCCTCTACACACATACACACAATGCACAACCAACACACACTACATTAATGACATACACACTCTGGATCCCGTATGAACACACTAGATCCCCTGTAAGCAAACACACACTACTTTCTTTAAACACACACACTTTACAACCCCTACACACACTACATCATCTATGCACACATACACTACATCTCCTATGCACACACTCGCTACATTACCTATACTCACACTCTCTACAGCCTCTAGCCATACATATTACACCAAATAAACAACACAACACAACTGAAACCGACATTTACACAAAACACCACACCACAATGAACTAACTCTACACACATTTAATCCCACAAGCTGGCTCTAAACACATGTACAATACGCTTTCCTTACACTTTTGTTCTTTGGTATCTCACTTATGGAGAAACCGGAGACATGTTACACGCAAACACAGAGCAAGCATGTTAATAAATTTGCTTGCGCTGCATAGAACAAATACAGGGCCTTTTTTCATGCAAGAGCTCTTCAGCAGGGCTCTGCACATTGAACCAACATGCTCACTTTGAGAGGGGGTGTGCTTGTCATTAGTGATGACAAAACAACCCCCATCTCTGGCCCGCCCCCTTCTCAGTGGGCCGCTGTGATTAAAAAATGCCCGGGCTGAATTTTTTCCCCAGTGCAGCCCTGCTTGCAAATATAACAGTAAACCTCATGTACAGGTTTTACAGGGTCAAATATAGGGCTTTTCCATTTTGCTAATTTGGCAGATTGGTTTGTTGGGCCTAAGTTGCCTTTGAAACCATATGGCAACCCAGGAATGAAAATGAACTTCATCAAGCATTCCATTTATGTGGTGTCCAGATACCACCAGATACGTACAGCGGTTTTGTTTAGCCCATGCCTTGATGCATCAGAGTTGTTTTGGCAGCACGAGGGGGTGCTACACACTATTAGGCAGGTGGTTTTAATGTTGTGGCTGATCAGTGTATATACATAAAAAAAAGGCTTCCCCAAATCCTGAATGTGACCAGTATGTTGTGTGGAGTTTCCTAGTGACGTGATACAAAATGTTTGTTTCTGTTTCCATGGTGACATCCAACTCACATGCATAAGCCTAAGCAAACACCTATTTTTTCTATAGTTCTCTCGTGACCTCAGCACATACCTTGCATTTTTTGTGATGCAGGTGATTATTGCTGCTGTGTGGGTGTAAAAAGGACCCTTCCCTTCAGGGGTAATGATATATTCCAATAAAAAACTAAACATACTATGAGCTGCACTTTCCCTTTAATAATCCTCCTTTTCTGGAAATAAAATGCATTTGCTTTGCAAAAAGGAACCATGGATATATAAAGCCCACAGGCATGCATCATAGGAAGATGCAC